ATTGAACACACACCCAGGTGAACAAAGCTCCCAAGATGCAGCGCAGAACTTACAGAGCTCATGGGTGGGTTAACCCATACAGGAGCTCTCCCTGCCACATTGAGATGATCCTAACAGAGAAAGAGCAGATTGTCCCTAAACCAGAGAGGAGGTTGCACAGAAGAAAAAGATCTCCCAGAAGAAACAAAATCTATAACCTGAGAGTAAATTCAGCATCAAATAAATGCTAATAAAAGTAAAAAGAATAAATAACTGACCTCCAAAACACTGTTCAATTATATGTCCCAATCAGTAGTGAGAGAGTTCCTGCTTTCCTGCACCCTCAATATGTGGTATCGTTATGAAAAACTTAGCCAATAGAGGCAGGCAATGAATAGTAAATCCTTTAAACCTGTATTTCTATGCTTATTAGCAAGTATAAAACATTTTTGCATTTTTACTGACCACTTGAACTCCTTTATGAACTTCTTATTCATTTCCTTTGCCCACTTTTCTACTGGAATGTTTGTAAAATTTCTTTATAAATTAGGGATACTAACTCTATAACTGCACTGTCCAATACAGTAGTCACTGTTTATTGAGCACTTGATCTGTGGCTAGCCTGAACTAAGATGTGCTGTAAGTGTAACATACATACTGATATCAAAATTTAGTACAAAAAAATGTAAAATATCTCAATAATTTTTATATTATTACATGTTGAAATATTTTGAATATACTGGATAAAATGTATTGTTAAAATTAATTTCATGTTTTTACTTTTTAAAATATGGCTATTAGACAACTCAAAATTACATACATGGCTCACATTATATCTCCTTTGGACAATGCTGCTCTCAATTATTGTTTTCCTTTTCTCCTTTAAACGTTTTCAGTATTACTTTGACAAACAGGCATTTCTCATTTTTCAGTATGCAAACAAACAAAGCAATTGTTTCCCTCAAGCTTTCCTACTTTGCTTGTTCTTTATAAGTTTTTCTCAGGCCCAAATTCTCCCACACAGGAATTTTAGAAGCATAAACTAAGCTTTATTTCTTGACAAAGAAAAACATGTTTTTAGAATTTTTTCCCTAAAGTTCTTCAACTATTCTTCTTACATGCATCCAACTTAAATACTTTTTCTACATGATTTTTAAATTTTACCACAATTATGGTTGCCCTTTTAAAAACTGTCAGTATTACTAACACTAAATTTTCACAAACAAGATTATTTTTAAAACCTACTGTTTTTAAGTGTGAACATTCCAAAGAACTTTGCAAAGTCATTCTGACTGGTGAGATAGGTAATTATTATCTGTGGTTCACAGATGGATGAGACAGAGTACATCATTTTTGACATGACAGTTACAGAGAATTGGGATTACAAATTAACACTATTTCAACTCGTTTTTACCAACACTTACAGGGCAGTTTAGCCTAAATTCAACAGCCACTACATCTAATTTAAGTGTAAAATGCTGGGATTGCTTGGTCAATAGAAGGAAATATGCTAGAGTATT